AAAAAAAAAAGAAAAATAATTCACAAGGGCAGTATCACTACAATTCCCTTAGACTTTAGGTTAACTCTGCTTCCCTGAATTTGACTGAACACCCAATCAAAATGCTGGTCACGGTGATTCTCTTTCAGAAAAGATGTGTTATTGCAGATGAGGGAGGATGGGGACTTTGTGTGGTGTTTGGAATGCTTATGATGACAATGTATAGATTAATTATCTGTCTCATTTTAAAATAAAACTAACGTGTGAATGTAATTTTGGAATAGAGCTCACTTATAAATCAGACTGTCCATAGAGGTGTTTCTCTGCAGCATCCTTTTGCCAATTTGGAGAATACAGGTGAGTGCCTCATGATCCTCCCCCACCTATCGGAGGCAATTTGTCCCTAGGACTTTAATTTAGACCCATTCAAAACATTCTTCTTGTTAAGAATCCACACAGCGAAATACACACCAGAGCACCCTCACTTACCAGCAGTGTACTCACAGAATGAACCATCACCTCAGCATAGGGTTTCAGGATGTTTAAGTGGAATCCTGGGGTCAGCAGGTGGCGGTGCTGGAACCACTTGGGTCCATCTAGATTCAGTAGTCCTTGACCTTGAGAAATAAAAGGCACAAACTTCATGCTGATTTATTAGATGAGATGAAGGAGAGATGAGGAACACAGAGATCATTGACTGATCAGGAGGCACAGTAGTTGTGAAATAGTGAAATATCTGTACCGTGCTGATATATTAGGATTGGGTGAGCTTTCTGTTTGGACATGGGCATGGGTGTATTTAAGGGAAATATGGCCATGGTGATCAAGCTCTAAATATTCAACATAACGTTTTGAAGCCTGATAAATATGGCACCAATCGTAAAATCAACAACTACCGCTATCAAAGAAAAAAACGGATAGTAGATATTTTACTTTGATATGGGCGCTTTCTTATGAACAAAACCAAAGATTTACTTTAAAGGAATCCCTGACCCAAATTAACCCACTAGCAGCTTTTCCTCGTCTCATAGTTGCCAATCCTTCCTTTCTGTTTGAAGTCAAGTTTGCAAAGTTTGAATTTCAAAAGATACGGTTGGCTGAGGACCAGAGACCATCTGTTGAACTTCTGCCCTTGATCTCAGTGAAAGGAGAAAGAAAGTGGGGTCCAGTCAATTACATTAAGAGTGGCCAGTGCACCAGCCTATGCAACCA